TAAAAATAGAACAAACAAGTTAAAAGAAGAAATCTTACCAGCATAATGTTCTTAAAACAACTTCATTTTGGCTGTAGTAGATGTTTTGTATAATATTGGATAATTATATTAAGGAAAGCCAAGGATTTCCACAGCATATTATTTATACTGTAATTTTTTTAACTTGAAAAATTGAAATTGCTGAGTGACTGCAGGAACTGAGTTTTGTGGTTGTAACCTCATTCATATTTGAATAGCAGAATGAATATCTATAGAATGGATGGGGCCATTAGATGAAAATGTAAATTGTTTTCTATGGCTTGATGTTTGATTATATATTGTCCTTAGAAAGCCTTTCTTTTTATAACCTCGTGTTATCACCTCCTATCATCAACTTACATTTGGAGAAATCTGCCTTTTCTCAGTTACAGATCAGAAGAATTCCAGTCATCAAATTACTTTGATGAATTTAAGCTACTTTTGCTTAGAAGTGGGCTCAGATGCTTCCCTGCTGAGAGTCAAACACATTTTCAAGCCCCTTATAAATAGCATTTTCACTGACTGGGTTTCAGCAGCTTGGCACTGAGGCACTAAGGAAGGTTGACCTACAAACTGTGAGTCATTAAAACCTCTACCCCTCCTGGCTACTATCTTCATTACTTTTGGGACTGTTTAATAGCATTTAATGCTTCCTGATGGGACAACCCTTTTCATAAAGTTCTTTTTATGAAGTCCATTCTTCAGTTGTGTTCTAATGCTGCCACTTCTGCTGGTTATTTTGGGGTGAGGATATTAAAAAGTTGGTAGCAAAATAAATTCTGTGGTTATTACATATTCCTACCCATCTAATTTCATAGCTGGGCTGAAGGAGCATTATGGGGTTTTTATCTGAACTCAAATCCAGGGCAACAAAACCTGTTGATTCCTTTACCTCCAATCTCAATGTCTAATGTTACTACATGACAATAGAAAGTGTGTTTTCAGATACTCTGATTTTCAGATGGACCCAAATCAATTTTTGGGATGGATATCATTCTGTTATGAATAAATTCAACTGTTAGACCTCACTTGATTTTAAGTGCAGTGCCACTCTTAGTCCCATGTTTAGTTTCCATCATGTCTGATCCTCTTCCTGACAGAGCTGCACCTCACTTCTCTGCCTTCCACTAATTGCTTCTGTAGGTTTTTAGTGCTCTGCTTTACTTTAGACATTTCATGCTCTGGGACTTTATTAAGAGAGCAACGTAAGGCAAGCACAGTGAAACAATTACATTACTTCAGGCTTCTTCTTCAAACTCATCCTTTCTAGTGCAGATACTTTGAAAATTATAAAGAAACCATCACTCTCTTTTCTTAGCATCTCCTATGACTGTTGAGCCTTCCTTGCAGGTTTTGGATTTGGTAAACTCTTATGGACTAAGTGACTCTCCCTGCTATCTCTGTTTTCTTCCATTTCCTTTTTTGTTAAGAGGAAACCTCCTTTCTCATAAAAATATAATTAGAAAGAAAGGTCATTCTTAACTCATTTGTTGATGGGACACACTGCTTTTCCAGTGGCATTTATTTGTGGAAAGTATTTGCTGTCAAAGATTTGAGATCAGTGACCCTCCTTGTAATTCTTTCCAAGGTGTGACTGCCATGAAGAATAAAGAGAATTTAGGATAAATGCTCAATTGTTGCAAAATATGTATCTGGATATGTCTGTGTGAAAGCTGGGCTGAATGGCACAATTCAAAGGAAAAAATGCTCACAAACCACATTGGGGGTTCATTCTTTCACAGAGGCATTTCCTCGGTGTCTCCCACAATTTCAGTTGGTTTTAATTATTGCTTAGGACCCTAAAAGAACAAATGCTGTAAATATTGCCTAACTTAGATGTTCATTACAAAGAATTACTGGAACAGAACTCTGGGCAGGACTTCCAGACCATGTCTTGCAAGCCCACAGTGATGTTACATAGCTTACATTGCTGGAGCTCAGGCTGTTTTTGAGTTAGCTGGATTTTCTCTATCACTTCTGTTCTCCTTGTGAAAGTGTGTTTTCTATCAATATTTAGAAAACTACAGATGCAAGTGAAGAAATTTTAAGGTTGTCTGGCTGATTTTTTTTCTTTTTTTTTTTTTTTTTTTTTTTTTGTAATTACCATTTAAGTCAGTAAAATGTCTCTTGATTTTGACAATTTAGGAGTGTCCCTAAAGGCCACACTTTATCATTTAACATGTCCATCATTTCAGTTATCAATTTTTCCTGGACTTTCTCTCAAATCTATTTCCACCTATTTACTTAAGCAAACTCTTCCAGGCACTGGTGTGTTGGGTTTGTTCCTTTTTATTTAGTTAGTTGCATTTTCCTTTCTAAGACACAAATTAGCAATAAATTTATTGGAGAAACTTACTTCTAGCACTGCCTATTAGTTGGAAAGGAGTGATTTTCCTAAGGCAGGCAGACTGCAGCTGAACATCCCTCTTACACAAAGATAACTGCCCTGGATTAGATCAGTTCTCCATCCAACACCTGTAACTGGAAAGGAGCAAAACCTGGATGAAGAAAGTAAAGAAAACTTGTTAGACTGGAAGGAATGTAGTAGATAGGGTAGTCTGTAGTTCTTTGAACATTATGTAAAACTGTATTTTGCATTTTCCTTTATTGTATTAGTTTTTATACAAGGCTGTGTATTTGGAAAGAAAAAGACAGAACTTACATGGTTCCAGCAGCAGATCATAACTCTGTCACTACCATATTTAGATTGGTCAATACTCAACCTAGTTGAATATGCAAAAGTACTTACAGCATCCAAATTTCACATAGATGATGTATATGTTGTTCTTCCTTAAAAGAAATGTTTTCTAGTACAATTCCTTTAAGCCTTCTTAAATGCAGTCGCTTGCAAAGTTATCAACAGAATATTAAGTTTTTCACCTTCATCTTTATGATTTATAAATTCCTTTTATATTCCTTATAACATATGGTATTTGCACTTTCTAAGACATAGCTAATTTATTTGCATTGCCATGAGGTTGGTTTATGTTGCATCACAGGCATGTAAATCTTTGCAGAATTACTGTGTAACCTTTTTGTCAGAGAGGAGGACCTAGCAAAGGCCCAAAGCCACAGCAGTAAGGCAAGTAATAGAGATATCACCATAATTACAGTATTTGCCTTCACAAGACCTAAATTTGTGAAATTTTCATTTTATTTTTTATTTTTTCAAATTCAACTTTTAAAATTTGATGCTAAATGAGGATTGAAATCAATTCATGTTTCAGATTTGAAAATCGTTATACAGCAATATTTCCATTTCCTTGCTTTTTATTAGGGCTTTGCTAAGCAATATTTGTTTCATTTCTTTCTTTACATACTGAAAAAAAAAATTAAACACAGTGAAGTACATTTGGTGTAACCTGGTGCCAACAGAGCTGGATTTGAGTTTACCTGTGTCACTAATTAATTCAAGAAATGCCTGTTCTAACATTGACATACAATATATGTACAAAGGAGAAATGAAGTAATGAAGCACTGCTTAAAAACTGGCAGGAAAAGCAAAGTGGGAAGTTGTGTTTTTTGTTTGGGAGTTTTATTATTATTTTTTTTAATTAGAAAGTTATGAAGAGGGAAGTTTTACAAAAGAAAAGCCTCTAATACTGTATTACTGTTCAATTTCTGATTAAAATATTTAAAGTGTCACATGGAATGGTATGTAATGTTCACAGATTCAATGAAAATATAAAAATGTCTGAATTAATTTCTTTGTTATATGGTTAAATTATTTCTATTTCATCTGAATGTTATATGGATTCAGAGGTGTTCTGACATACAACTCTTGCCTTTGAAGAACTGAAAGGTACTGTTATGTACATGGTGCAGCCCCCCAAAAAATGAGACAAGAGATGAAAAACTCTTTGAGTTATTACACAGTTATGAGCTGGTTAATAATCCAGCTCTTGAACAACAGCAAAGCTCTGCTCAGTTGGCAAAATCACTGGATAATTTAGATGACTTTGAGGTCACCTGAGTCTCTAATGTCTCACCCCTACTCAAAACAGGGCTGAATTTAGAAGACAGATCCAATAATGTGATGCGAATATCTCTGACATTATAAATTTGAGCCTGAACTTGGACCTTGGGAGTCTCCTAGTAGTAGTGTTGGTTGAACCAGTCAACACTCCTTTCATTAGTGTCCTCTGAGAAACTCAGAGCCAGAAATGGCACTGCCATCCCAATTCCCAGTTTGCTGCCTGCTGCACCAGTCAACACTATTTTCATTAGTGCCCTCTGGAAAACTCAGAGCCATAAATGGCAGTGCCCTCCAAATTCCCAGTTTGCTGCCTGCTCTTTGCACACAGAGATTTGTGTGAAAGGACAAGCTAAAACACTTTGGCAACTCCCTCGTCCAGCTATGGGCAAGCTTTTACACCATCACAACTCCAGAATTGTCACAGACATCTTTTATCAAAAATCCTTTCCTTAGGATTTTTCCTCCTGAAAAGCTGAGAGGCCTCGAAAACAAAATGTAAACATTGATTATCTGCTGCTGTGGAATGCAACAGGTGCATCTGTGATTGGCCTCATGTGGTTGTTTCTAATTAATGGCCAGTCACAGTCAGCTGGCTCAGACTCTCTGTCTGAGACAGAAGCCTTTGTTATCATTCTTTCTTTTTCTATTCTTAGCTCGCCTTCTGTTGAAATCCTTTCTTCTATTCTTTTAGTGTAGTTTTAATATAATATATATCATAAATAATAAATCAGCCTTCTGAAACATGGAGTCAGATCCTCGTCTCTTCCCTCTTCCTTGGACCCCTGTGAACACTGTCACACAGAATTGCTCCAGAATGTGGCACTGCCATCCAAATTCCCAGCTGCCGCTCTTTGCAGGCAGAGGTTGTGTGAAAAGACGAGCTAAAACACTTTGGCGACTCCCTTATCCAGCTACGGGCAAGCTTTTACACCATCACAACTTCAGAATTTCTCCAGAATATGCGCTCTTCTCACTAATCCCTGGTTTGTTTTTTTTCCCTCTGCAGTGCCAGGATTTCCCTACCCTGCTGCGACCGCAGCCGCCGCGTACAGAGGTGCCCACCTACGAGGCCGGGGTCGCACGGTGTACAACACGTTCCGAGCAGCAGCTCCCCCTCCTCCCATCCCAGCCTACGGCGGGTAAGGAGCTCTGAAATTCTGAAATTCCCTCACTCACCTCTGGCTCAGCATGGATCCAGGAGCCTGGGCACCATTCCCAGCCCTGCTGCATGCGGGTCGTGCCTGCCCGGCACCGGCGCCTCGCACAGCAAGGCTTGAAAAATGACTGTAATTTGTACTGCCATGCTTGGTGGCCTTAAGCATTTCAGATGTCACATATTGTTATGTAAATGCTCCCGCAAACGGAACGCTCCGGAACGGGGAGATTGTTTCGGCTAAAGGTATATTTTTGATGATTGCAAACATCTGGTTATTAAGGAGGTTGGATCGAGTTAACTTCTTTTTTCCTTCAAATCGCCTGCTGGAAGTTGTCTCTGCACCTGAAGGCTTAGTGCTGCATTTTTTTTTTTTTAATATATATTTTTTTATCGCAGTTTGCTTAGTTTTTCTAATTGCCATCTTTGCCATTATAGAAATCTGGGGTGCTCCTCGCAGGGCCATGGGTTTTGTGTACTTTTGCTTAAATATTGCCTTAAGGTTTTGCTGTCAGTGACCTGCATTTACTAAAAGCAAATAGTAAACTAAGGAACCAAAAAGAGGAATTCATAGCATTAATTTCTAGTAATTCTATAATCTTTTTTTTCATTTCAGAAGATAGTTTGGGTTTTATGTATATTTTTGGGGGAAAGAAAGAATAAACAGTTTTTCCTGTCGCTCTGTAAAGGCTGACACAGAAAGGCTTTGTATGCTGCATGAAACACAAAAACCCTAGTAACATTAGCAAAAGATGTTCAGTTGTCAAGAAATTAGGAAATCTGTAAAATCAGAAAACAGCAGATCGTAGGCTGGAGTAGTATTTTGTCATAAAAACTTGATATGCCACTACCTCTTTGTAGAGCTGTTGCATCTTTCTGGGATGGGGTCAGGAAGGGTTGGCAGTGAGAGAAGGTGATCCCTCTCTCTGTCTCTCTCTCTTGTTCACTCTCCCTGCCCTCACTGAAATCCCGTTCAGCAGCTCCTTGGCTCCCACTGGGGATGTCCCCTTGTGCAGAAGCTGCCTGCACAATCCTTGTCCCCTTGCTCCATTCCAGTAGGTGATGGGTGCCCTGCACCAGTTCCCACAATTTCCCAGTAAGCCTTGCTTCTTTTAAGCCAAAAGGAGCATATTTTTCCAGACAAATTTGCTAATCTCATCAGTCAGCCTTTGGCCTGAGTTTTCAGGGATTTATTTATACAGGCAGTTTGACCATGCTGTCACATTAGGCAGTTATTCTATCAAAGAAATGAGCCATTCTAAAAACTAATGTAAAAATCATGCCACATAATCAGGTTATTTTGTAAAAGTGTATTCTGTTGATTTATTTGAGTGTTTTGTGTAGTTTATTGAGAAAAATAATATTATCACTACTGGGGGAAGACACTTTTCTGAAGTTTGCCTGAATTACCTTTGGGCAAGGATGGTGTCCCACCAAAGTTATCCTTCTGCTGCAATACTCTCAGTTAGAGTCAGTCCAGGCATTTGAACATGGCAAAGATGGAAACAAGTTCAGAATGCCTTGCATTCAGATTTATTTAGAATTCCTCAGATACCAAATGGATTCTGCACCTAAAGAAAGTGAACTCTCTATCTCTACCTTGTTTAAAAGCAAGTTCTTAAATTTGAACATAGAGTGCAATATGTAGTGAGATAACGAGGTGGGCCACTCAGTTTCATGATGACATCACACATCACACCTTAGTTAAATACCAAGTCATAAAGGTAGATACAAAAAAAATTACCAGCTGTGTGTGTTAGTTTTTGAATTGGACAGTACTTTTTGATTAGTATTTGCAAAATGAGTAAATACTTTCTGCCAAGTAAGTTACTTAAATTTGCCTTAATTTAAGAGGCCACATGTGGGTGCTCCATGTGTATATGTGTGTGGTGATATACACATTATTATAATTAGTTCAGTGACTCAGCAGCATGAATTCCATTTCCAAGAGTAGCACATGTATATCCCCATGTAATTGTACTGCTTGTTGCCAGCACCTTTAGCAGTAAGTTAGATGTGTGAGCACAGAGAACTCTGTTGCAGGTCATTGCAAAGGTTCTGCAGAGGGAGCCCTGCCTTGTCACAGGTCACATCATCTTGCTCTGATGGTTTTCAGTTGTCTGTCAGGAACCCTTGCTAATCTAGGGATCACCCTGCCACCAAACATAATTTGACACTGCAAAAGGTTTCAATTACTAAGCCCTGTCTTAAATCATGTAGGTCTTGGTTCACATATTTAAGTTTTTCCATCTACCTGCGCTTTCCGATAAGGCCCTGCTTTCTGAATTGCCCATTTTGTAATTCATACAGATATGTATAATTTCTGCACTGAATTACAATATGCTGTAATTCAGTACAGAAATTATACATATCTCTGTTGCCCTGATCCACAGCTGGGGTAATATAGGTTTATTTTCCCATAATTTCTTTGGCCTGGCATATTAGATCTCATGTTGGTATTTTCAGTGATACAAGAGTGTAACGTGGAATTACTGAGTGATTCTTTGTTCTCTGCTCATCTATTCTATCCTGTGACCCATCAAAGAAGCAATAAGGAATTTCCGTCAGAAAAAAATCTTGGATCAATGAAAATAAGTTATGAGAATGTGGTTTTTGGTCACAACATGAAAAGAAGTCAAGGAAAATTATTAAGATAGTAAAGACATCACAGAGAATGAATCAGCTTATGAAAGGAAGCAAATAACTTGGAATATCATTTGTTGATAAGAAAAATAGAGTAAGTTTTGAATGCTGTTATGCAATCAATTTAGTAGCAATTTATTATTTTTCACTCAAGGAAGGCACCCAGCCTTACAGCCAAGTAAACAGTTTTATACTTAAGTATTTTCAGTCATTAAATAAAAAAAAATTACACATATTCTATAGTGAAAGCTATAATTTTAATAATAAATTTACATTAATGATGTAATTATTTTCTAATTTAATTAGAAAATATTTCAAGAAAGAACCTATGTGTAGTTGCAAAATATAAAGCTGAACATTGCAATTACCTCCTTCAATTTTCTTTTATTTCATTTACCTTAGTCCTTGATCTACCTCTAGGTCTTGTACTCATAAGGCAGGATGAGTTATGGTGGTTCCTGTTGAAAGGTGTCTTCTGCTGTGCCTCCCACTTACTGGGGAGCAGCAGCCAGGCTTTGCTGGATCCCAGGGAAATTGCTGGGCATAACCATATTTAAGGCCATTATTTTCTTATAAATCAAAGAATAGCATGTGTGCTTTAAATTGTGTAATTTAAAAATGGAATTTCTGTTCATGAGATACATGGAACTACTCCAGTAATTAATGGATCCTTCACTTTTGAGTGAGACATTTCACAATTCCTTGAGATAGCACCTTGTTTATTAGCTTACAGAAAGTACTTCACTTTTAGCATCTGCGGCATCATCTCTAATGCCTTGAAATATGAGAATGTGCAGTTTACTTACAAGTACATATAATTAATGGAAGTATCATAAACCCCCCTGACACTAAAGTGGGGAGTAAAGCTTTGTTTGTGTGAGAATACTGAACATTAAAATTTAGAGTTTGTAAATCTGCACTGCATGGGGAGCTTAACCTCAAAATGGTGCAGCAGGAGAGGGAAATGAAATCTTTAATTTGTTGTCAAGAAAGCCCAGATTCAAGGTATATCTGGTAATAGAACAGTAGTAGACAGAAGGAATGGTGAAACTGATGAGGAGCCTTTCTGCTTCATCATCCTTTGCTTTAAATTCTCACAAGTTTAGTGTGGGGTGACTTTGTCTTCACATTCCCTTTCTGCTCCTTTCAGCTCTGATGGAGCAACAGAGAATTAGCTTGAAGTCTGTATCTCCTCCTCTGCTGTCTTTCCTGGGAAAGCAGAGGAGAGCAATATGCTTTTTTTATCTTTGACAAGAACAGTTAAAAAAACAAAAAAAAAAAAAAAAAACAACCCCAACCCTAAATAGAATTGTGAATTTGTGGGGAGTGTGGAGGAGAAATAACAGAGGCTATTCAGAAACTGTTCCTCTTGTTAAAATAAACATTCTCAAGTGCTACTTGCTCACTGATTCAAAATGAAAATACAGCTTCATTTTCTTACTCTGAATTCTAAATTTAAGAACATTAGTATGAGCTACTACATCTACTCAGGTTGTTACGGATTTTTCCCACTCTATTTCCTTGGGCTCATGTAAACTTCCTCTTACTTTGGACTCTGCATATGTGCAATTGTTGGAACAAACAATGGCTTTTGCCAGCATATATTGATTCATGTCTGCAGCTTTGTTCTCTGCAGCAATGCCCTCAGTCAATATCACAAAGCAGAAAATGTAACTTGTCCATGGCAGAAACTGGAAAGGCAAGAAACTGGAATTAGAGAACATTGTAAAGAGTCGAAGTTGCCTCTTACAAGAGTTTCAGTTTGATGTTTAGAGCACTTAAAACTCTGTTATTAGAGTGTGGAAAAGTGTTGCTTTAGTTCTGTCTTTGGTTTAAGTGAGGCTGGTTTATTATACCAAAGGACTTTGGTTTAGTAAGGCTGTAGCTGCATCTCTTCTCTCATTTATCTCATGAAGGACCCAGATAAAGGGTTCACGTTAAAGGTGAATTCCAGACCAGGAGCTGGACAGTGCAGGACAGTGAGGGTGACCCTCCCAGCGACCAGAAAACAGAGAATTGCTGTTTCTTAGCTGCTTTTGTATAGCTGGAGAGGCAATGGTGAGCTGTGAGCATTGCTGTGCCCAGGAAGGAAATCAGGGATGCGCTGCCCTTTTTTTCCCTCGAATCCACCCCCAGGCTGGGTGTGCTGCCCTGGGCAGGATGTGTGGGATGAGGACCGTGGATCCTCAGCTGCTGGGAAGTTTCTCAGCGAAGCTTTGTGCAATCCAGGCCTGTCTTTTCATGTCATTGACAGATTATTCAACTCAATCCTTTTGAAAGATGAGGACAGAAAAATGATAATGAAGACAGATGTAGTTCTCCCAGGATATTGTAAAGGTAGAATCTAAACTAGGAAAGAGTTTGTGTTAATATAGTTACAAAAAGTGATTATAAGACATGCAGAGCTCCTTAAATAAAGGAGCTCCTTAACTCAAGGAGCTAAACCCATGGAAGTCAGATGTATAATATCTGATTAGGAAAGAGTTCCCTATTTAGATAAAAATAATTTCAGAAAATGATTGCCACATATGTTGATATTTAAATGCACATTTTCCTCTTAAATCAAGATTTCTCTCACTTCACTGTTTTCCTTAGCACAATAAAATAACAGAATACGACTGAACAAATCCCCCAAATTTGTTCTTTTTAACTCCTTCAGGAAGCACATTAACACCATTCCTTGGGTGAAGTAACTCAGATTTCAGTAATGTGGCTCTTTAAAAACCCTGTGTTATTTTACAAGGAGCAATAGACTTACCTGCTTACCAGGATAATTTTTTTAATATAAAGTGTAAAAGGAGCTGTTGTAAGATGGGTCCCTGTGTGATACCTTCAGTCTCTTCCCATGCTCAAGACACCCCCTTTGTTTTCTGCCTAGAGACTCAGAGAGAGAAAAAGGAGTGAAAAACCGAGCAAATTAAACAAAATTAATAATAATAATTAAAAAAAATTGGAAATTTATATACTAAAGGAAGGAAAAGCAAAACTTAGTTTTTGGTGGCTTACAGTTTCTACTTCTGATGAAAGCAGCTGTTAGAAAATACATTTTACTCTAGTAGTAAGATTCAATCAGGAATCAAAAAATTACACGGACTCTAAATAGAGGAAATATTCTCTGAAAAATCTATGAAAGTGTGAAGAATTACTTCTCCTCAAACTTCAGGAGAAGCAGAAGGGTTTTTATTAAATATCACTGTCATAATGCAAGATCATAGAGAGGAAAAAGATAAAATCAGCTGATTTTTTTTTTTTTTTTTTTTTTTTTTTTTTTTTTTTTTTTTTTTTTTGTAGTGAAAGTCCTGCTTGGGACTGTTATACTCATTTGCCTGATTCTGTCACTTCATCTTAATATTGGCCATGTCTAATGATGGAGTTATGCATAGATGTCTCATTTTAGTGATGGGTACATTTTTCAGCATAGTGTTTATGAAGTGGTTTCATTTAGAACTCAAAATAAGTTTCTGTCTGTACATGACTGGAAGGAAGACTGGGGTGGATGAATGAACCTGTCCAAGATTACAACCAGCTTTACTTAGGAATGAAAAATTTATCAGCCCCTTTTCATCTTTGCCGTGCATCCACAGATCACCAAGAGGAGGAAGAAAAAAAGTTTTCTTTTCTGACAGATGCTTTCTCAGAAGCATTATTTTCTGAATAGCAATGTTTAATAGCAATGGACGGAGCACTCTCCGTCCCCCTCTCAGGAGCACAGGAGATGAAAGGATGTAGTGAGATAGAATATAAGAAAATAAAGATAATGTAGAAAGGAATCTCACCCCTAAGGAGCTGCAGCTGGGTCAATTATCAAAGATCAGGAACAGGCCTGACTTTACCAGGCCACAGCTGTAAGCAATGAGAAGCAGATGCTATAAAAGAGTGGGGTGGCTGGGTGAGAAGGGAACTGGAGTCAGTGGCTGCTTTGGGAAGGAGAAAGAGTCAGTGCTCTGAGGAGATGTCCATGAGAAACACCGAGAAGGTATGGAACTGTTGTGATAAGGAGACAACAGTATGGAAACCCTGTGATAAGATGACCGCAAAAGGAGGATGGAAAAGCTCCTGGGTTGAGATAAAGACAGGGACATTTTGTGCTAATTGCCATCATGGGCAAAACAGACTTGACTTGAAAAATGAGTTTATTTGCTGCTGAAGTGCAGTTAGATGGTTATAAACAGAGGTAGGACCTAAACCACCTTCCCCCAGATTGTCCCCCATCTCCAGCAGGAGGGGCACAGGGGTGTGAGCACCCGAGGGCTGGGGCTGTGGGGTCACAGGAAACTCAGTAAACTCAGTATTCTTTGTGTGTCATCTCATCCAAGTCCTTCATGCTGTCCATGATTGTGTGCTCCTACCTCACAGTTGTGTGGAATGCTTTATTCCTTATGTGCAAACAGGTAAAGTAAAACACGGAGTGTTTTAAAATAATCAGTGTATCCTAACCAAAATAAAGGTGTGCTGCAGTGTAACAAACTCTCTGAAAGCTGCCAGTGTAGACCAGGTTTTGCATATTTTGCTCTGCAGACATAATAAATAGAAAAATATATGAGTAAAGGTCTGACCCTATTGAAATAAATGGCAGATGCTCTGATTTAAGTGGAGCTGAGTTTTCACCTGTTATTATTCCATAGTAAACTTTTATCATCAGTGTGGTTTTATCCATGTCCTTGTGTGCATGTATGCATATTTATGATTTTCTCAAGTGATTCAGACTTAGACCCATACCAGCTCAGCCCTGTGGGGTTTGGTCATTGACTTCAATAGGTCAGTTTTATTTCTGACATCAAAATTCTTGTTGGAATTGCAAAATGGCTTAGGCTAGCAACTTGGTAATAACTATTATTCCTAGATAATAGTATTCCTTAAATTGAAAATATTGTTGCAAAAAAAAAATTCCCTATTGTTTTAATAACTCACTTATTTAGCCCCTGAAACAGCTTGGGTTGATTCTGATATGGGAAATACATATTTCAAGTTGCAGAATTGCCAAATGGATGTAAAATTGCAGGAATGACCTAATGGGTGTAATTGTTAGGCCACTGTTGTGCGGTTGGAGTTTTATTCAGTATAATCATTTAAGCTGTCTCTGTCATACTGTGTCTTTTATCCCGGAGGGTTTAGAATTTTCCCCTGTTTACACTGATGATTGATCTGAGCTGAAATGTGACCATTTCTGGGTGAACTGGTAACAGCAATGTTACCACATTTTTTTGAGAGAAGCAGTAGTAATGTATCCAGCCAACCAAAACAGGGGAGCTCAGAAACACTGACATGCTTGCCAAAGCTGTAAAAGGCTCAAGTAGGAAAAGTTATAATTATTTTTTTTCCCCAAAAGCATAGCACCCTGAAATTCTCAATAGATCAATTGTCATTATTGGTAATGTGCATTGAACTAACCATGCAGTACCTGTGGGTTCTCTGACCTCTGTGTAGACTGGATATTGAGATTTGACCCAGTGGGTAGAACACCACCAGTGTAATTATTTCACCCCCTCCTCTCACCATTTCAGCTTAGGCTGTATTTTGTTTGCTATCTAAGTAATGAGAAGCAACCCTTTATTTCAGAGGGTCAGCATAGCTGCAGGATGAGAAAGCAGTGCTTCAAGAGTTAGGCTTTTGCAAGGGTTTGAAACTGGATGTAGGATTGGCCCACTGAAAATTTTATAGCAAAGAAAAAACATCAATATGTGGCTTCTAAAAACAGGGGAGAAAAAAAAAGCCCCCAATCTTTATCAAAAGTCTTTTCCAATCCTGCCATGCTTTACCTTTGACCAAGCATTTGGCATACTTGATAAGATGATGTATTTGGTACAGGTTCACTTCTGACAATTAATACCAACCTCCTTAACCAATGTGAAGAGTGCCTTCCTACCCCCTCCCCTCTGTTCTTGTGAGAGACTAACCTCAGCTGTGCAGGGGTTGGTGGCATTTGCATGTGGAAATGCACTAATATGGATGTTTTTCTTTGTGTGTGCATCCTTGCAGTGTTGTATACCAGGATGGATTTTATGGTGCAGACATTTATGTAAGTATTCATTGATGTGCATGCTGTCCTTGTACATTACCAGAGTCATTCTTTTTACAAGTTTGCTGCCTAGCTTGACTCTGTTTTGTCTATTTACCATCCCTTGCCTGTCAGAAAGAATTGAGAAGAATATCTCTCACATTGGAAGACCTTTCTGTTCATTACATCTATCATTGTTCAGTGGAGCTGAATTAACTCTTCAATCAAATGCTGAATGAATGCAAAAAGATGTGAAAAATGTATGTGTGTGTGTGTGTAGGGGCGTCTCCCTTTGTAATTGAAGTTCAAAGTAGAAAGAAAGCAAAGCATAACCATTCTTTTGCAAATCCCCAAAAGCTCTTTAAAAAAATCAAGGCGAGCTGATTATTATTAATACTTGATGTATGAAAGTACTTCATGGAGAGATCAGGTTTCCCAAATCCAGCCAGCACTGGGGATGTGTAGGTGTCATGGTGATAGTAGAGCTTAATGGCATGTAAGTTTAGGATATGGCAATATATTGTCTTTAATCTGAGTAGACTGCCAAAAATTGCACTTTTAGATTCCACTCATTTCAGTTTAAAGGAAATGGGTAGAGACTGCTCCCAATGCAAGTGGACAATTTATTAGGAAAGATTCATAGTCCTGGATCCATCATTATCTATGCATCTAATTGTTCACCTATTTAATCTTAAACAATATGTTTGGTTTTATTTTTGCTATTTTTTCAAGTTTTCATGCATTGTTTTTTCTTGGCAACTTTTTTATCTTGAATGTGTGCAAAGAGTCTCCATACGTCTGAGTATGCAAGAGGTTTCAGGGGGTTGAGGCCAAATTTCACTCTTCCAAAATTCTTATACCTGATATGTAGATGTAAAATATTTCACTGACAATAAGCAATATTTACTTTTGTTATTATTTTAATAAGGCAGTCTGATTCTAAGTTACAGGTATCATCTTTGTTTCACCAGATAACTTTCTGTAACCTACTTGTACTTTTTCAGTTGAGATAAAATGAGACGGATGAGTTGCAATTTGTATCAATATTAAAAATTAAATAGGCAATGCTAGGAAACATCCCTTGTGTTCATTATCAGCAATCTTCTAGAACTATTCCCAAGGGAACAGATTTTTGTCAGTAAGCTTTATATAGAGAAGGAAAACAATTTGAATTTATGGATGAACTAGGTTTTGTTTTTCTGACAGAAGTGGAAAGGCTGATCCTTATCTGAAAATCATTTGTGCAGTTTAAAAACATATTTAAAATAAATCAGTGAGGGTTAAAGTCCTCTCCCTATGTACTTATGTAGTCAGTGATGTTATCAGTAAAATATTGTTTACAACACAAGAATCGCCCCCTGGCTGAAGTTTGCTGAAGCCAAGTAAGTGGCTCTGATCTCACCCAACCACGCTGCTGCCCAAAGTGTGTATTGGACACACTTTACACTGTGGAATTTCTTCAGTTGTGGTTTCCAATTTTCACATTCCTTCAAACCATCAAGGGTTTGACATCCATTTTGCTCAGTGTACCAGCCCAGAAATCTGCAGGGCCACAAGACATCCTGCTCAGGGTGAGAGAATAGGTGGGAACTAAATGTTCCTGGAGCAGTTTGTAGCTTTGGAGCCCACTGCTGCTGAAAGCCAGCAATACCTCATTGGTGACTGTGAATATTATTTTTAGTGGCCTCACACCTCTCACAGACCTCCATGTTTTGTTTCCAAATGGAGGGTGGTTTCAATGAGAAAGATGCTGAATAAATTACTAATTTCTAGTGTAGCCACAGTTTTGTTGCCTGCAGTAGTTGTGTGCTTTAGGAAATGGAATAACCACACTGGTTTTCACTCAGTTGCCGCCTTGCATTTCTGATTGCATATCTTAGTTCTGTTAATGCAACAGAATGTTTATCTTTATAGCAGATGATGGAATTAAAATACTCTTCTGGAAATTTAGTTTCTTTTTAATATACAAATCTTTTTTATTTTATAAATAATTTTTCTTCACATTTGTGCCTTCTTGCATAAAAAGCATTTGTAGGGGAGGGAGAGAGAGATAAAAAGAATTGGCATAAATCAAATGAAACCTTAAAATTCACAGTGTATTAGTTCTTAGTGCAGCAGTTTGCAGCAGGCCAAGTTATTTATTAAATCCCAATTGTTTATGACATAGCTTCACTCAGCTTTTCATTTTAAGTGCAAAGCTGAAGCTTTGTGAAATGACAAACGCTCTGTGAAAAAAGGATAAAAAACATTTAAACAATATAGGGTTTAATGGTAGATTGGAGGGAAAGGAGCCTTAGAAATACCACAGAAAGCAAAACAAGAGGCACACAATAGTGAAAAGCCAGATCAAAAATATGCATTAATGGGTACATCAGAGTGGGTTTCATCCTGCTCTGATCACACTGAGCAGCAATTGATGGACTCTGCTATTCTGTGCAGAACTTGGGATCAACAGAGCCTCTGGTGAGAGAAACCACAGATTTAGGGCATGGGACAGAGGGGAGACACAAAAACATCGGTTGGGTAAAAACTGCAGGGTGAACCAAAACCAGCAAATATCCACAGCTGCTCAATACTAACCAGTGGAATATAAGAGATTGGGTATATAAAAATACATGGGAAGTACAGTCTAAAGTGAAAAATCAACAGCTATGATTCTAGATGTAATATAATATATTCTATATTTAATATAATTCTATATGAAATGTAATAATCCTTCCGAAATAGCTGAGCTATTGAATTCCCTTTTAAATGTGCCTTTGAGTAGGAAAAATAAAGGAGATTATTAGGAAGTAAGGAAGACCTTTTAAAATTAAGTATTGATTCACTAAGAGAAAAAGTCATTAAAAGAGAATTAAAGTTGCCTGCCAGCAAATATAGAAGTTCTTAGATGAAGATTGACACCTGTGAAAATAAGAAAATACACTCCACAAAATGAAGCAAAAAATAGTGTCTCAGAAACAGGCAGTTAGAATAATAGCTCTGCTTTATCTTAAATCTGTTCCTTTTTTTTTATTACCATTGTCATAAAGAATGTTTTCAGAATATGTCAGTCATCAATCCACACCTAAAATGTGGGAAGGCTCAGAAAATGATAACCTTGTACACCCTGTCACCATCAGCTCCAGAAGCCGCCAGTAATGGTTTAACCATGGCCATTGGTCAGTCTCACTGCTCACACCAAGGTTTTCTAAACTTCCCAGGATTCTGCACCTGTGATACTGCAGCTGGAGAGAATCCATGGGAAAATATACATGCATAGGTTTAAATTTTTTAATATTTTTTTGAGCTACTGGGCAGATTTTTATGGTCATGGGTATGGAATGAGAATATTTCCTAATAGCTATTGCCATCACCTTTAGCTCAAAGCTAGGATGCAGTTGGGATGGAAGATTTATTTGTTCCCAAGGGAAAAGCAGAGGTAATTATCCGACCAGCATTCCCCTGACCCCAGGTGGAGTCCCTGGAAGCCACCTGGTCCCCTGAAGGGCACTGTTCTGGGGTGAAAAACAAGGATTTGCAGATAGCACTGAAGGTTTGCTTTTGAGAACCAAGGATTTTTTGTGTTTGCCCATGGAAGGGTGTGCCATTCCATTCCCTGTGACTCACAGAAACAGAGAAAGAAGAGGAGAAATTACTTTGCCAAGGGCAAAAGGGTCCCCAGGGAGGAGTGGGTTGTTCTTTGCACTGCTCTGTGTGCTGGAACACTCCATGATGGCTTTTTAAAAGTTTGGCTAGGTAGGGATGAAATGTCTTTTGATCTCATCTTTATTTGTGAAGTTAAAAGCACATTCACAAAGGTACCAGAGCAATGCTGGTGATTTATTTGGCTGGGATTAGTGCAGGTGGTGCCTGGATATTTTACCAAGAGTTTTTTTCTCAGGCAGCAGCTGCCTCTGGGAACACAAATATATCGAAATAACCAAAACCTTGCACACAGGTCAGGTCCACAGTTTGAGCCAGCACAAATTGGAGGTGGATTGTTTATTTATTTTTAATTCTTTCAGTCAAAGTTATACTCAGTGGGCAGAACAAACACTGTTTAAATCTCAATAGCATGTGAGTGGAAGAAAATGAACTGACACTTTCTATATTCTGCAGCTCTGAGTTTAATTCACATAATTTTTAATACCATTCTTCTATTTGTAGTTAATAAGGCAGGTCTAATTCTCAATACTAGAGGAGGTTTGGAACCTTGATTAATTTATGTTCACAAAATACTCAGAGATCCTTGAGTGAAAGGAAGTATAGGAAGTATAAATTGAGGAAAATTAACTCTCAAAATTCATATGAAATATTAAATATGTAGATAATAGGAAAAAATATTCATCATTTAGAGTCACTTTGTGGTTCATTATATCTGAGAGCATGAGAAAAATGTGATAAGGCTATTTTTGAGGAGGTGCACACATGTATATATGGTTTTGTAGTGTCTAGATTCTGTCTGGGTAAGCTTTTGTGGAAATGAGCCTTACTGCAGATGCACACGCTTTATTTAAAAATTCAGTTGTATTTAATTATCTGTTCATTTCCATTTTATCATCTTATTCAACATGTGTGTGATTTCCTTCTAAAATTGATTAAGATTTCCTTATAAAAATCACCAGTTGATCTCTGACAGATCTCACTGCTCTTTTTCTGTTTGCCTGAGCCAGAGATGTAGAAAACATTGGGAGGGAAATTCTAATGAATTCCTCTGGGGAATTTGCCTAAATTCCTTCCTTACATCCTTCCTTCTTCATTGAAATCATTCAATTTCTGTTTCTTTATGGAGCAGTGTTGCAGGAGCCTGTGTGTGGCAATAAGTTACCACAGCTATGGGGTAACTTTGCACTGATGGAAAACCTCACCATGCTGGATGTAGGCTCATGCCAAATCATAGTGATACTCAAATAAATAGGTGAGAAAATGGATTCTGTGTGAGCAAATGGCAAAAATAGTCCACCAGCTGCATTTTATTTTCCAGATTCAGTCACAAAGTCATAGATAGTGATATTATTGTTAATTTTTAAAACTACTTAAGCTGCTGTAACACTGTTTTATCATTGTTCTGCAAGTAGCAAATATGGGGGCTCAGATAAGGCAGCAAACATTTTTTCATTATGGTGTCTGAATTTATTATTTTCCAAATAACAATCCAAAGTCAGGTACTTTCTGCCTGGATATAAATATAAGAAGAAAAAAAGAATTCCTAAAACATTTCTAATACTTAGGAACTGAAAATTGTTAATTTTAAAAATGTAATTATTGCAGTTTTGTTCTGAGTATTTTATTTTGCAATATAATTTAAGGCGTGAGGATAATTATATAATGTTACTCAAGAGATGTAGTGAAGATTACTGGTGTATTTTCCACCTAAAGTATCAGCCAAGTTCAAAATTAGAGAATAATTGTGAAATAGATGTTGTTACAGAAGTTGAGTTCAGGGGTTTGAACTGGACTCACACCCCAATTTCCACGGGAAAGTGTACCTCCAAGTGTTTTCTTCCTGTAGTAATCAAAAATCACCTGAAGTAATTGAAGTAATACAATGAGAAAACTTGGGACAACACCAAAACTGCAGAACACAAGCCCCATAAAAATAATTTGCTTAAGCATATCTTAATGTCTAATTTATGATAGTTTATTTTAAAATTATGAATTAATGACATGGGATGGTAGGGAATTTGGTTTTCCCTGATACCCAAATACATCCTGCTATTTTAGTTCTCCAGAGAATGTAGGCAAATTCAATGCCTTCAATCTCTTTTTATTTGTATTGCTTTATACTCATTCTTGCCAGGGCTCTCATAAATGTCAGACTGATTGCTGAATCCAAAACATCTTAATAAAGTTGGGAGTCGAGCTTCATTGTTCCGCAGAAATTCTTTGAAAGCAAATCAAAATGTAAGCATAAAAGGAATGTAGCTCTTGTGTTTAGGGAGCAAGAAAGGTTCTCTGATCACACACTGACCAATTTTTGGTGATAGTTAAATGAAGAAAAGGAAACCAGTCCTCACAGAGCCCAGCAGATTTCAGAGCAGCTGCTGTAGGAACAGCTTGTTTCATTTTTCTCCTATTCTGAGAACAGGCTCATGGTGGCCTGGTCTCAGTTCCATGCTGTGGTAGGAGCTGGTGTGTGTGGAGCTGGCTCTCACTTTTGAATCAGGGGTTTTAGGAGTGGACAGCAGGACAAACAAAGAGTTGGACACTCTGGTGAACAGAACCATGTCAGACTTCAGATATGCTACACAAGGCCAGACTGGATAATGAAATCAAGTTCAGTATCTTCATCATATCAGCACTCAGGGGAAAAAAAGAGGAAAAAAAAGGGGTGGGGAGAGGTGTCATGTTCCACAGAATCACTGGGTTGGAAGAGACCTTCAAGATCGAGTCCAATCCAGCCCCAACACCCCAACAAAACCCCAGCACCAGTGCCACTTCCAGGCCTTTTTAAAACACATCCAGGAATGGTGACCCCACCACCTCCCTGGGTAGGCCATCCCAATATTTAGCCCTCAAAAACGAGGATGGGAAAACAGATAAATTTGTAACATCTCTCAGTTCTCTCACTTTTACAGAGGCCAGCCCAAGTGTGCAGTTTGAATTTCTCTCGGGCTCAGTTTGTAGCTGGTGACATTATTTGATATCCAAAGGCTTGTGTGTACATACCTGCAGCGGTTGGGCCTGTTGTACATTTTTGACAGTGATAGCCTTCTGCTGGGTTATAAAAATGAAATTATCTGAATTGAGAAGGTGTTTTTGTCTCACAGCCTCTGTGTGTGCCCAGAGGAGCGCAGGAAAGCATGAGGGGGTTTAGGAGATGCTCATTCTTGCCTGATCCCAGGGCCTGTGTGACACAATTGGAGCTGGCCAGGAGCAGGGAGGGACATGTCCTCTTGTCTGTGTGAGCACTTGAAAAAAATCAGAAAGAATCATCTTCAAATAAGCTGACAATTCAAAGCCTGGAGTTTCTAATGAGCTGTCAGTGTATGTAAAACTTTTGTTTATTCTTAGGGTGATGTGGCATTATCAGCTGAACGATTGATTTCCAAACCCAACCTGTCTCAAATCTTCAAACCCACAAAGGTTTACATGGGTTAGGGATGAAGCCATGCTGCCAAACCAAGTGGTAGAAGGGGAAATAGCTTGTAAGAGTAGTTCAGATTGATTTTGCAAATAAAAATTTGCTCTTTTCAGCAAAGCAAACTATAAAACTCACAAAAGTTACTGCAGTAAAATTGTTCTACTGTTACAGTAAAGGCTGGCACATCGTGGCCTATTCTTCCTGCTTCAGCATAATATCTGGGGTGAATGCCGCCTTCCAAAAAAAAAAAAAAAAATGAAAAGAATCAATTCATTGAGGCAAACACTTCAGCAAAAGAGTGAATTTTATTCAAAGCTGAGTGAGCTGATCCTGTCTTATTCAGCTCTTTGTTAGGGAGGGGTTGGGTGGGTCAGGCACCACAGCAGCCCCTGTCCCAGAAGGTGCTGGGGGCAGAATTCTAATTGGGACGTAAATCGTGTTTGTGTTATCAGCAGGGCTGGGCTGGGGCTGTTAATTGGCATGCTGAGATCATTTGGAAATGGTTGATATAACACCGTGGTCCATTGAACAGGAAGCTCTGCTGTTTTCACAGTTTGATAATCAATGCATCACTGCACTCAATTCCTTTCCAATGTGTGTTTGTTTGTCCTGTTTGCTTAATTGAACAGCTGGAATTACTGTTACATACAACTGAATGTTAATTCATGGAAGAGAATTTTGCTTCTTCATTATAATTTTATGTTTAAATTGGAAACCTATGTAACATTAAGTGTTAATTGAGTGCACAAATTCATAGGTTTAATCAACCAGGCATGATAAATCATATTTTGTACAAAAAAAGAATGGATTATTAGCTGAGTTTGTCTTTTAAGTTTAGCACAGCTTTGTGAATATACATACAATTTGTTCATACGTACAATTATTGTTTAAAAACTTGGAGAAGAATCCAGTAATGTCTTATAAAAAAGCTGATCAATAGAGTTCATTGCTTTTTCCTGATCTCTAGGACAAAACTTAAAAAAAATTTTTGGTGCTCCATTTTGCTTCACGATTCACCGAAATATTTTCCTTACCATTTCACTGCGGTATTTCCTATGCATTTAACTGAACTGCAGCATGACTGTACTCTTTCAATCGTTGTCAAATGTTGCAAAATGTGCTGGAAGGTGCCATGGCAATGCAGTTAGAGCGTGAGTTTGTGTTTCAGGGTGGTTATGCTGCCTACCGGTATGCCCAGCCTGCCACTGCCACTGCAGCTGCCTACAGTGACAGGTAAGAGCTCCTTTCCTGCTCACTAATATTGGACCAGTGGAAGTTGAAGTTGATTCTATAAATTTGCCTTGTTGAAGTCTCATAACTGTCTTGTTGCTCTGCAGATAATTGTGATCTCTAAAGCAGGCTGTTTTATTATAATCCATGAATAGCCATAAATTGAGAGACTTTAGGCCTTTAATTGAGAATCAGGCATGAGATGTGCACATTCCCAAGCTCTAGATCATGCAGTTAACGTCCGTGACCCTTGTACAATGCAGATAAATAAATGTACAGATTCATGATGGTCTGCTACTAAGGATTATTATTTGTCTTAGGAGTATTATTTCAGTTGATTTAGAACCTTGAACCTATTGAGTGCCCTCAATTCTCATTGACATTGTTTTTGTCAGTGGAAATTGAGAATGAACTGTGTCTAAGCTTGAAATATCCAAAGGAAAACAGCATTTTTTTTCCATTTGCTTTTTACCAAGGCATTTGATTTTTTTTCAATACTTAAAAAAAAGAAAGAAAAAGAAAAAATATTTTTCTTTTGCTCTGTATTTTTATCCTCAAAATGTAAGCCACATTTGGTGGAAACAATATCAGGAATGGAATATCATTAAAATCTGCACATTCAAAGACTTAATTTTTATCAGCTAGGAGTGATGTCACATATATTAGTGTGTCTTCTTAAAAGATTGATATTGGAATCCCTTAGAAGTCAATGCCTAAATTGCTGTTGACTTCAGTAGGTACAGGATTTTATCAAATTGCATAAAATTAAGTCTTTGCAGTGTGTGGAAATGATTTTGTAATGAGAAGGCGGATTTTCCTACATTTTCCTCATAAACTGGACCCTTAAAATCTATTCTACCTTTCATATTTTTCAAGTTCTAGAGGAGTGTTCCCTTGTAAAGGGAGGGTGTATTTGGTGCCAGAGACACACAAATAATTTACTTCATGATGGCAGTGAGAAGTAAGGTCACACTTCTCAATACCTGATACAACAAAATTTTCACTTGGAATCATGGAAAAAATTTCTCAAACCTTATATACATTTTGAAAAAATTCTTTAAATGCTAAATTAGACAGTGTTACAAATGCTTCCGTTTCTTAAAGAAATCAAGAGATTAAGAACTTCTAGTGCACAATTTCTTAGATTGAAGCGCTGTTCATGGATTCTGTATTTTTAGAACCAAGTCCCATGGTATGAATGTTACAATGCTATGCATGCATATTTGCCTTTCAAGTGCTTATTCTGGGTAATGAAGATACATTTTTTTAAAGTTATGTGAATAAAGTAATTTGCATGTATGGCTGAGGCATGCTGTGTCAGACAGGTAAGCAAGCTACTTTTTATTGATTTTGGGTCAGTGATATCAACTAGATCTGTGCTGTGTGCACTTTGTTGGCAATGTTCTATTTCTACTTAGGGGAACCTGCACAGGTGAAATGCTCCTCAGTAGTTTCATTTCATTTCCACAAAGGTCTGTTAGCATGTTGCAGCTCTAGGGTTTTTATGTGAGCTTTTCTGTAATGCAAAACAACTCCTGCTTCTAAAAACCGAATAAACACAAAGGACAAAATTCTAAATAACCTCCTGTGGTGAGCCAGGTTTTGCCAGCTATCTCTCAGGTGTCCCTGGATCATTTAATAGGCTGTTTAATTCTATTAATTAAACCTATGCATTACACAGAGAAACTGAACAATATCAAGCTGAATTTTAAATGCTTTAATTATGAATTGATGTTACCTTCTCATAAAGCAGATGAAAGGCTGAAAGATAAAATATCAGTTGGTCACATGTTCTGCTATGGGCAGAGAGTCAACATCACAAAGAGTTATGCTGCCAAAAAGGTAAAGGATTTGTTCAGGAAGATAGTGCTCTTAAATGCTGTAAAGAAGGCTGGAGATGGCTTCAGTAGTAATGCAGTTTTACAATCCTTAATTAATCTTTTGAAAAAAATTGTCTAATTTTCAGATATATTTTGAGTATAATTAGAACTGCAATAACCTATCTTTGCTTGCATAATTTTAGTTATCCTAAATTAATTTTATATCTTTTGGAATTTTTTAATTTATTTTTATTTTTAAATATGGTTAACCCTCATCTTCAATCTGCTTGCCCCAAATGAATATGGTTTCTTGTCTTAATTACAAATCTCATAACTGAATTTCTTTATGAGAGAATCCCAAAACTAGCATCGAGAACCAAACAAATAATCTGCTCAAACATTTCTTTGCATGTGGGAAACTATGTGCAAACATGGATACCTCTGATTATTCCCAACTTTATTATTATATATATATTTATTATTCCCAAGTTTGTTTAATTTGATTAACTTTTTGTTCATTTTAAAATTAACTTAATTTAGCTACTTTTGTTAAATTGTTAATTTTGAAGGTGCTGAAGTATACTTCAGTATCACTGCTTGTATCTGCTGTTCTTAATGTAATTATCATCTGCTCTCCACTCACAACACTGAAGATTCCACATCTTATACACTTATTTAGTGTTCATATGAGCCCCTAATTAATTTAATTACGCATGAACTGCACTTACTGTTTGTGTAAAAAATGACACCCAAAGAAATTGAGTACCACTGAAGCAGTGACAAATAATGGAAATACTACTTCGTACTAATTTTAAAAATAAGGAAAGCTTTATTTTTCTTGTTCACCACTCATATCCATTATAAATTGCAGTGTTCCATATTTGAAAAGCTTCTTAATTCAGGAGATGGAAAGAGGAAATCTTTAGAGTGGAGACATGTTTTGGTAAATTAAAAATAAAGGTTAACAGAAAGATTTGGGACTGCAGAATCAATAAACCAAGTCAATTGATAATGATCGGTGTGAGAGGGCTCTGTTTGAAGAAATGCAATGGTATCCTTGTTTGTCACAGTGGGAAATGTTGCTGGAAATAGGCAAGGAACAGATATACAGGGGAGAATCAGGTGGCAAGGAAATACCATTAAACCAATCAATGCAAACCCCAAAGTATTTGTCAAGACAGATCATGTACTCCTAAACCCAATTTCACAACAGGGATAGGCCTGGCAGATCTCTCCAGTCATTTTTTAGGATCACAAAACAAAACCAACAAAGAAACAGGTACATTTTGTTTTATTTATGAAGCAATAGAATCACTGGATACAAATTCTGATTTCAATTTTTATATTGTATTATCTATCATATATTAAATTGCATGTACAGTTTTGAAGGTCTTTGCAGAAGTGGATCCAAAAAATTTTTGTTTAACTTGCTAAGACTTGAAATATTTCTGATAAGTTTTCCAATTAGTATAAGTTCTAAAAGGGAACCCCATTGGTCTAAATTCATTCTTCATCAGTCTGGAACTTGCCTGACAAACTCTCTAAACTGAGCATATTTGGAAAAAATATAATTGTAAGGATGTGCAAAAGACACTAAATCAGATGTCAATAAAACGTTTGTACAGCTCTTACTCATCTTTCATGGAATATTTAAAAAATAAATTTAATTAAGTTGTTAGATTTCTGTCCAAGTCTGAAGTAAGAGAAACTAGCAGGGTCTTTCAGTTTTGTATTCCTGAGGTAGAAGGAGTCGGAGCATGGCAGTGGGGCGTATTGTCATTGTGTCATTGCATGTTCACTTGGTGTTGCTGGTATGTCTGTAATGCTCTACTGGATTTGACAGATCCATCACATAGCTCAGTGAATGGCTTGCTTGAATTAAGCCTATGGGCAGACTTATTCACATTGATTGGCTATTGGTTTTGTGTTTTATGATTTGATTCTTGCACCTTCGATGGGAGTAAGGGCGATGTTCCTTTTCTGGCGCGTACGAACGTTGGCAGCGGTGTTTGTGCAAAACGTGTCTGGGAGTGCAGGGAGCAGAGCCCTGGCAGGAGGGAGCAGCCCTGGCTGAGAGGCAGAGCCCCAGCCTGTGCTGCTTGCTGTCCCCAAGCAGGGCCAGGTGTGTTTATACATGGATGTGCTGTATCCATATATACACACACGTTCCCATCCATCACACACACTCACACACAGAGGTGCTGCTCTGAGCACCATCCCCTTCTGTAACACCCAATTTCAACCTCACTCCAGACTATGGGGGCATTCCCATTGACCTCTTTGTTGTCTGGATTAATTCCCTCATCACTGGAAGCTTTTTTTTTTTTTTTTAATAAAATAAGGCATATTCAAAAATATTTTGCACGTAACACTTTCTAGTAAAATATATGTTTTGTTTTATTATTTTTTTTCTCCCTCTATCAATTTGTGTTATATGTTCTGTGGTTATACCTAGGGTTTTGTGAAATTTGAGAGAGAAGGTTTTGTCATATGGAAGTTAGGTATCTTCCAGATCTTAAACCTTACTCCTGATAAAATCCTGATATTCTAAATAGTTTACATTTTTAACATGTCTATGTGAAGCATTCATTTTTTTTTAAAGCAGTAGTGTCTACAAAAATAGTTTAATATATTTTCCAGTTCTCTTCGGGCATGTAGGTGAGAGTAAGACTTGATATTTGTGCTCAGATTGTCCTAAAATAGAATAGATACAGATTTGATTTAATAGTAAACATGCTCATTAAAGAGTGAAAATTTAGAATGAAGAGTAAAAAAACCACTAAATATAAATTGTGACCTTCTACAGCTGAGGGGGGTTTTTATTATGTTGTGGACTATATAATCTTCTATTTTATGATTAAACAATGAAAATCACTATATTTTTATTCAAATTATTTTCTCTTGTTTAAGATTACTAGAGATATATACTAAAAATTAAGGTTTTGATTGCATATAAAATGTAATAGCATCTTGAGCTAGAATTTAATTTTCCATTAAATAATTTTACAGAAGCATAAATGTTTTAAAATCTAGTACCTCATTCATTTCATGCTTGTGCCTTCTTAGATTAAGGACAAAGAGCTTCTCTACACAGTTTCAGTTTCTAAAGGAGTCAGGTTGAAAGATCAAAAAAAATTAGAATATAGTGGTAACTTTTCAACTTCCATCTGGAACCTTCCAACA